TGTGTGTGGGGGGGGGGGTATTTGATAAGCAGTTACCTCTACAAATTTTAAAAATATAATACAGCAATGAGCTGAGTTCCACTTTTTTCTCAGGTCCCAGAATTAATTTTCAATGACTCAACCAAAATCTTAAAGAATTAGTGAAACCATAAAGGAGAAACTATGCTACATATCGCTACACTGGATGTACAGCTACCATTACTACGAAGAAACCATGCTACATATCGCTACACTGGATGCACAGCTACCATTACTACGAAGAAACTGTCTTCATAAATGAAGCCACAGAATGGACTGATGCCTAATGGGAATTGTAAATAGTAAGACTTCAGCGAACAAAAAACTGAAAGCTTGGCCCCAACATTGTTTCCCTTTTTTGTTATACAAATAGGCTAAGGCTATTTCCAAACCGTGATCTTCTTATTAAATTGAGTTGAATTTATTCTAATTATATTATATCCCCAAGTTATTTAATTAAATGTTTCCGAGCAATAGTTCATAAATATAGCTATATGTCCACATATCTTTAAAAAGCTTTGAAGACAAACTTCTAAATTCCTTTGCCTTTTATCGTTATAGATGTAATGTCTATGTTGATCACGAGGACAATAATTTTCATTCGATTGTTTTTTAGTGTGAATGACAGCTTCTAGTGAAACACTACAACTTCCAATCTCTAGCATAGTGACGTTTCCAAATTTGCTTTTTCGTGGACATAGCACAATGAATTCGACAGATTGGTCCTTGTAGCTCTTTCACGTCAGATATTTAGCCATCATCAATTCTCTTGAAATTCTGACCACGCTGACCAGGTATCTTAAACTGTCTGGCAGCAACATTAATAGATTCCAGTATTTCCTGTAACAGAAAAATGTTTTTAAAAGCAGTGAGAAAACATTAAGGGTTTTAAAAATGTTAACCCCCACTAACGAATTCTGGTATCACATAGAAGGACTTCTGGGTAATGACTTACAGTATACGAAATATATATCTGATGTATAATTTTTACACACCTCGTTTGAAATACGTAATGAGCTAATTAAGAGAAATGTGGTAAAAACATCTTCAATTCAGCGTGATTATCACGAACATTAGATTTTCTTTTTCAAAGCTGTTCATTCATGTTGCTTCAGCTTGGTGCACATGCACATTTCGGTTCTTTAACAAATTCAATCGCTTCTTTCGTGTTGTCGTGTCCTACTTTGTTTCAGAATGTTTTTATCATTAATGCCATGGATTGAATGATCATATTAAAGAATCCAGGAATCTATTGTCATTATTGGATATTTCTGTGTGATAGGTAGTGCCTATATACATTTCTTCCCCCAAGCGGCAACTTAGATAAGTATGCCTAATAAGAGAGAGAAAACAGCATTTTTGAATAACCGAATGGTAAAGAAGAAAATAACACGAACAATAAAATGAAAAACTTCCTATATTAAAACATTATTTTATATTTACTACCAAGGTTCGTTATTCTGGTTATCATACTTAATGTGTTATATTAATGAAAAATGTCTTTATGTGGCAGCTGTACTTTTGATCTTCTAAAGATTGTTTGTTTGTAATTAAGCACAAAGCTACACAATGGGATATCTGTGCTCTGCCCACCACGGGTATCAAAACCCGGATTCTAGCGTGGTAAGTCCGCAGACATACCGCTGTGCCACTGGGGGGAATCTCCTAAAAAAGATTTATATATATATATATGGCATTTTATATCTTTGCTAATAATATCTGACAAGTATCATAATTACGTGGATTATATAAAATATCAGAAATATTTGAGTTCTTATTATCATTGCATTAAAATCACGAAGTGAATGCAGAAAGGAACAAGACTATGTTTCCTGAAGTTCAGTCGTGTCAGATTACAGCCAACAAACGTACACCAAAGACGTTTCCCACATAATCAACATCTTACATGTAAGCAGCCAAGCTTCAGTTATTATAATAATCCCTGTCAAGAACAATAACATACGTGGACATTGCCCTGAAAGGGGTAAGAGTAAGTGCGGAATACTCTGACCCTCGTGTAGTAATTAAATAATATTCTCCCTGAAACCAGTCATCATCTACTAGGGGAAAGGAAGGGGTCAAATGCACCTGACCCTCCTAGGTCTATAAGACCTAAGCTCCGATAAATATCACAGACAGACAGATTGCATTCAACTGCTTTAAGAACAACTCTTGTCTGGAGGCATTGTATAAGCAATCCGATTATGAAAATGGAATTACAGTATGATAAGGCAAAATTATATGTACAGTGAAGAAAGACTGTCTATCCGAAGTTACAAATTCAGTCTTTATATACGGCAAGCATTCTGAGTCAGAAAAACGTCTTCCATTTTGATGCTTGGATGCTGACTGCCTAAAGCGAGAAAAGCCTTCTTCATACAGTGTACTAAAGGTAGTGTTTGACTCTCATAACGGCACTGAGTGACAGAGAGTAAGCACTTAAAATTCCTGCATCTGTCCCAAATTAGGGGTACCACCATTTTAGAAGCGGGTGCAACAACTTGATTTTTGCTTTGAGTGTGAGTGTGTGGTGCCACTCCATCCTTTATCTGACTGTGATATTTGCAGTAATAATTCATCATCTATGACAATTTGATCAAATAATGCAACCACTTTCCAAATCATGTTGCTATAGAAATTCACTGTAAACATAAAACCTGCCCCGCGTATATTTTGAAGTTTCAATCTTTAGAGACCATCATGCAGAAACCTTAGTATATCACTAGTGGCTACAAATAATGATTTCCACAGACTAAATAAAGATATCCAATTCATGGATGATATCTTTGATACACAATTTTTCCCCTTCGATCGTACTGTCTACATAATCAAATGTATCATAATTTATTGAAGTTCTTAGTCTCATTTCTTGATACTTCTTTGGACAGCTTTGAACTCGTGACACACTTAAATGCACGGGCGTGTGATAAGGAACCATCACGATACAGATTTTTTAATCGTTGATGTATTCACAGAACATTTTCACCTTCTTGTAAGATCTTGATCACCCTATGCTGCTCGAAACAAATCCCATTAGCAGACGCCATTTTTTAAATATGTTGCTCGTCGCTTATCGTGCAAAGAGATAACACATGCTGCTATTAAAAGAAACCACATATTTATTAATAACTGTGAAAGTCGTGCATCCAAACTAACCGGCTTCTAATTCTACAGTAAGACTGTAACTTGCTGCTGGAGCTGGAGAGCATGATCGAAACGTTTAGACAGGATCAAAGCAAAATGGACTTACTTTACGTCTGGAAGTATATACAGATACAGGGTCAAGTTGGTACAAGCTTCTGTGGGGTAACCGTTGAAATATGTAACCGTTACCAAAGCAAGAATATTTGTCTATGTTTACGACATTCATACACCCAGTTTACATGCAGAACAACTTCATAAAAAATGTGGAAGATAATCTGAATATATCCGAAATAAAGATATATTAATTACTAGTTATCCAAGAGTAAATTGTCATGATATTAATATCACAGATATAAGTAAATTGTTAAGAAATCAATATCTGCCTCATTTGTTAACATGTGTTATTTGTCTTTCTTTGCTATCCGCATTCATTTTATTACTCTGCCTGACATTTCCGGAACCTGACCTGAATACAATGTATTCATTAAATGGGAAGGGAAATCCAATTTCATACTGAATACCCATAATGCAATTTAAACTACAAATAGTTTATTCAGCTTAAAAAAGTCATAATTTAACGTTAGTATTGAAGCTTAACAGTACAGTATTACAAATCTGTTTGTAAACACTAGCTCATTTACTTACATTGGTAAAAAAACGACAAAAAAACAACAACATCCTCATCATAGTAGTGGCAAAAGCAAATGAGTGTCTTAGCGCTACCTGGAGTTACTAGCTCAAATAACGTAACTATTAACATTACATATTCAAAAATAAAAATATCAGGCTTTATCTATGTATTTATAATTAGGTTTATATCAGTCCTCCACATGTAGTAAAACAACAGTTCTATACATTCACTATTTTATATAGTTTTCTATAAATTACACACATTTTACTTTCTACTAGTGAATTTAGTTTGATATTTTAAGTATATAATTTTTTTATATGTATTCTAATGGAAAATTAACTATTTGTGTTATTACTTAATTATTCCTTTCCGTTAACATGAGGCTGGCATGGCCCGGTGGTTAGGGCATTTGACTCGTAATCTGTGGGTTTCAGGTTGGAATCCCGTCACCAAACATGCTCGCCCTTTCAGCTGTGGGGGTGTTACAATAGTAAATTCTACTAAAGAGTAGTCCAAGAGTTAGCGGAGGGTGGTTTTGACTTGCTGCCTTCCCTATATCACTTCAAAATTAGGAACAGCTAGTGCAGATAACCCTTGAGCAGCTTTGCGCTGAATCCAACAACTAAATAAATTCATTAACATATCTCGGTGCTATGCTTACACATAAGGGTTACATATGCTAAGCGTTAACTGCATCATTTTCAACACAGCAAATAAAGGAAACAATAAAAGAAAAGTTGGATTTTCCTCTCTTAAAAAAAGTTGTAAAGACCGAATTTATTCGAAAGTTATTTATGTGTTTACTGTAGCTATTGAAATAATCAACCAGGATTAGCTAGATAGTTGGATATATGTGCTGATAACATGCATTCTTGGTGTAATGGTCAAGTGTTTGGTGATCGCTTATAATAAACTCATGCTATCAAACAATTATAGCTCTAGTGTGGTGTATACGTACGTGATAGGTAATGAAAGAGTGACTTACTCGCCAGGACTGACTAAGTTATCAGTATATAGATATGGTTCCAAAAAAGTCTATAGATAGTTCCATGTTACCAAAAAACTAACTATATAGTTACGTCATATAATTTGTTTGTCTTGAATTAGTTATTAATAAAGTTTGGAGGGCTCATAGTTTAGTTTCATATACACGTCCGCTATGATCCGTCTTTTATAGGTTATTGTAGGCTTAAGTAAAAAAATCAACGTAAAAGTAGAGTGTTCGTGCTTTACAGAAATGTATACATATTGATTGACGTACAAGCTTGTGAAAGCGATAACCTGTACATCTGTTGCACGTGCTAGGTTTATTGTTATACACTGCAACACGATGGAGCCAAGTCGATTAGATTCTCTGCTTGCAGGTCTGTATCAATCATAGCCATTGTAGTCGGTCGACTTTGCCAGAGAACAGCTATAGGCATCTATACCACCAGCAACAAGGCTTATAGTTTCAACTCCAGAGGTAAACTTAGTTTTAGC